CTCTCTCTCTCTCTCTCTCTCTCTCTCTCTCTCTCTCTCTCTCTCTCTCTCTCTCTCCGTGATCACTCCCTTTCCTCCGTCCACCGTGCCTATGCATCTCCTGGGGTTCCTTGATTCTTCTTCGTTGCCGCACTTTCCTTTCGATCCTCCTCGCCATATCCAATGCGAGCCAGCACTCTTCCTCAAGTTTGGAGGGAAGAAGGGCGCGGGTTTTCTCTCTCTCTCTCTCTCTCAGCCTCTTCTTCCAATGCCGTCGGGTTCTCTCTCTCCTTTTCGAGACACCTCTGTGCCTCCATGTCGTGTTGCTTGTCTCTCTCCTTTTCGGCTCGTTGTCTCTCTTGTTCCCCGACAGCTGCTTGGATCTCCCATGAATACTGTAGTTACCAGAGGAATCTTCCACGTGTGCACTGCACCCCATTGACCACGTCCCTCTTGTTGAATAGGCTGTCGTCGGGCCATCTTACGTTCAAGGGGCTTATGGACCCTCCTTTACCACCGCTCATGTTCCTCCTCGACCTCGTGCCGCCGCTCGTGTTGCTCCTCGACCTCATGGCGTTGCCACGCACCATCGTGATGCACTGAGCAAGATAGAGTGAATGGGTGTGTGTGTGTGTGTGTGTGTGTGCGTGTGTGTGTGTGTATGGTGGGGAGAGAGAGACAGAGAGAGAGAGAGACAGAGAGAGAGAGAGAGAGAGTGAGAGAGAGAGAGAAAGAAAGAAAGAGTGTAGGAGAGAGAGAGAGAGAGAGAGAGAGAGAGAGAGAGATGGAGAGACGAAGAGAGGCTATTGAGCGGCAGTGTGCACGAGTTGCACTTTCGCATACTCCATCCTCGGCTTGGTCAACTTCATATACTGTAATAAACGTTGACCTGGCCTGGGCCTTGGGATGTAGAAACCTTGACTTGATCATGGGCCCGGGCCGGTACCGATGTTGATATCAGTGTGGACCTGGGCCTGTTCTCGTGTTTACCTGGGCCTAGAGTAGGTCTCGTTCCTGGGTGTTGGGTCAGGCCCAGGCTAAAGACGTTGCCCGGGCTCAGGTCCAAGCTCTGACAGCTTTCGTTGCTTTTTTTTTTTTTTTTTTGCCCTTACAAAGCCCTACTGTGTGTGCCTGTCTGCCTGTTTATGTGTCTGTTTTATTGTCTGCCTGTCTACATGTCTTTGTGCTTATCTGCCTGTTTGTTTGATTGTCTGCATGTCTGTGTGCCTGTCTGCCTGTCAGATGTTGAGAGTCAAGCAGAGAGGCTGACAGACAAACGAACAGAGACAAAGACGAACATACAGACAAACTGTTTGTTTGCCAATAAGTCAGTCTGTCTGTTTGATTGTCTGCCTCTCTGCATGCCTGTCTGTTTGTCTGTTTCGCAGGTGTTGACGTGGCAGACAGGCAGACAGGCACGCAGGTATTGATGTGGAAGACAGGCATGCAGACAGAGAGGCAGGCAGGCATGGCAGACATACACGCAGACAGAGAGGCAGGCAGACAGGTCGATAGGCACGCAAGCAGAGAGAGGCAGGCAAACCTGTAATGATTTTTTTTTTTTTTTTTTTTTTTTTTTTTTTTTTTTTTTTTCCTTTCAGGGCACCGAGTACAGGCATGCGTCCAGTGGCAGACGTTTACGTGGCCATGGTCTCGGCCTGTACCGCCGTTGACCCGGGCCTATACCGCTGTTGACCTGGGTCTGTCCAGGTCGCCGTTGACCTGGGTTTGGGTCCGCGCCTGTACTGCAGATGTTGACAGTCACACAAAGTGGCTGACAGACAGACGGACAGACACAGAGACGAACAAACAGACAAACTGTTTGTTTGACAGTCAGTCAGTCAGTCTGTTTGATTGTCTGTCTGTCGGCCTGTTTGTCTGTTTGTCTGTCTCGCAGTTATTGACGTGGCAGACAGGCAGACATGCACGCAGGGGTTCACGTGGCAGACAGGCACGGAGGCAGAGAGGCAGGTGTTGACGTGGCAGACAGGCACGCAGACAGAGAGGCAGGCAGACAGGTAGATAGGCACGCAGGCAGAGAGAGGCAAGTAGACCTGTAATGATTTTTTTTATTTTTTATTTTTATTTTTTATTTTTTTCAGGGCTCCAAGTACAGGCTTGCGTCTAGTGGCAGATGTTGACGTGGCCATCGTCTCGACTTGTACCGCCGTTGACCTGGGTCTGGGCCTAGGCCTGTACCGCCGTTGACCAGGATCTGGCCAGGTCGACGTTAATCTGGGTATGGGCCCGGACCTGTACCGCAGATGTTGACAGTCAGACAAAGAGGCTGACAGACAAACAGACGGACACACAGACAAACAGACAGACAAACTGTTTGTTTGTCAGTCAGTTAGTCAGTCTGTTTGATTGTTTGCCTGTCTGCCTGTCTGCCTATCTGTCTGTTTGTCTGTCTCGTTGGTGTTGACGTGGCAGACAGGCAGACAGGCACACAGGTGTTGACGTGGAAGACAGACACGCAGGCAGAGAGGCAGGAAGGTGTTGATGTGGCAGACAGGCACACAGGCAGAGAGGCAGGCAGAAAGGTACATAGGCACACAGGCAGAGAGAGGCAGGCAGACCTGTAATGATGTTTTTTTTTTTTTTTTTTTTTTTTTTTTTTTGCAGGGATCCAAGTACAAGCCCGCGTCCAGTGGCAGATGTTGACGTGGTCGGCCTGTACCGCTGTTAACCTGAGTCTGGGTCTGGGCCTGTACTCCCATTGACCTGGGCTTGGGCCCGGGCCTGTATCGCAGATGTTGACAGTCAGGCAGAGAGGCTCACAAACAGACGGACAGACACAAAGACGAACAGACAGATAAACTGTTTGTTTGTTAGTCGGTCAGTTTGTCTGTTTGATTCTTTGCCTGTCTGTCTGTCTACCTGTCTATTTGTTTGATTGTTTGTCTGTCTGTCTGTCTGTCTCGCATTCGTGGGCCTGAATCTGGTCCAGGTGTAGAAGTTGTATCGTGGGTCAGGTCGACGGTCATGTCCAGGAGACGGCCTGAGGGTCAGGTCATGGACACAGGCTAGGAGCAGGCCACGGAGACAGGCCCGGGGAAGGTCGGGCAGGCATTCCCAGGCGCATAGTATGTAGGGGACACAACCCCACTGCCATGCACAGACCCTGCATACAGGCTCAGGCCCACAATTTTTTGGCCTGAGCCTTTTCTTTTTCCCCCTGATATGCATGCACTTAGGGTCTGTCAACAGAAAAATTTCCTATAATTAAATATTCATTTTATAGTAAAATTACATTCCAAATTTTAAATTTTTATTCTCTCTTAAAAAATGTCATTCCAATTTTAAAATTTTCCATCTTACGTGAGAACTTTCCTTCCAAGAATGGGGTATCCCTTCTTATTTAAACTGCATGCTAGAGATGGAATGAAAGTCTGTATGAGTTCATGAAATATTTTAATTGGACTGTCATTCTAAGTAAGGATTTTCAGTCATTAAAAGGTTAATTCAATCTAAATTAAAAGATATTTGTTGTAGTAGAATGAAATTTTAATTAAAACATTTCATAAACTCGTCCAGACCTCCATTCCATTTTGAACAAATAGATATAGTTGGAAGGGAAAGCTCATATTTAAACGAGAACTTATCAAATAAAACTGGAAATTTTAGAATTTGACAAACATTGGAATGATAATTTATAAATATGAAGGATTTTTTTTTTATGAAATGTTTTTCTTAACTTTCATTTCTCGTGGGAATTGTTCTGTTGGTACTTGTGCGTGGACGCAGACAGATGCAGACAGAGAGGCAGGCATGCAGGTAGACAGACACGTAGGCAGACATAAAGGCAGACACGCAGATAGGCAAGTACACACACAGGCAGTCACGCAGGCAGACAGACACGTAGACAGGCAAGCGGGCAAATAGGCAAGAAGACAGACAGATAAACACTTAAGTCTGGACCTGCGGAAAGGCCGAGACAAGGTCTCGATCCTGGGTGTTGGAGGGATAACCGTGTCCTTGGAGGGAGGTCCAGAGGCTGTTGGGAGGACTTCATCTCTCTCTCTCTCTCTCTCTTTCTCTCTCTCTCTCTCTCTCTCTCTCTCTCTCTCTCTCTCTCTCTCT